TACACACTGACTGGGACTAGCAGCATTAGTCACAGAGTGCATCATGTATAGCTACACACTGACTGGGACTAGCAGCATTAGTCACAGAGTGCATCATGTATAGCTACACACTGACTGGGACTAGCAGCATTAGTCACAGAGTGCATCATGTATAGCTACACGCTGACTGGGACTAGCAGCATTAGTCACAGAGTGCATCATGTACAGCTACACACTGACTGGGACTAGCAGCATTAGTAACAGAGTGCATCATGTATAGCTACACACTGACTGGGACTAGCAGCATTAGTAACAGAGTGCATCATGTATAGCTACGCACTGACTGGGACTAGCAGCATTAGTAACAGAGTGTATCATGTATAGCTACGCACTGACTGGGACTAGCAGCATTAGTCACAGAGTGCATCATGTATAGCTACACTGACTGGGACTAGCAGCATTAGTCACAGAGTGCATCATGTATAGCTACACACTGACTGGGACTAGCAGCATTAGTAACAGAGTGCATCATGTATAGCTACGCACTGACTGGGACTAGCAGCATTAGTAACAGAGTGCATCATGTATAGCTACGCACTGACTGGGACTAGCAGCATTAGTAACAGAGTGCATCATGTATAGCTACACACTGACTGGGACTAGCAGCATTAGTAACAGAGTGCATCATGTATAGCTACGCACTGACTGGGACTAGCAGCATTAGTAACAGAGTGCATCATGTATAGCTACGCACTGACTGGGACTAGCAGCATTAGTCACAGAGTGCATCATGTATAGCTACACACTGACTGGGACTAGCAGCATTAGTCACAGAGTGCATCATGTATAGCTACACACTGACTGGGACTAGCAGCATTAGTCACAGAGTGCATCATGTATAGCTACACATTGACTGGGACTAGCAGCATTAGTCACAGAGTGCATCATGTATAGCTACACGCTGACTGGGACTAGCAGCATTAGTCACAGAGTGCATCATGTATAGCTACGCACTGACTGGGACTAGCAGCATTAGTAACAGAGTGCATCATGTATAGCTACACACTGACTGGGACTAGCAGCATTAGTCACAGAGTGCATCATGTATAGCTACACACTGACTGGGACTAGCAGCATTAGTCACAGAGTGTATCATGTATAGCTACACACTGACTGGGACTAGCAGCATTAGTCACAGAGTGCATCATGTATAGCTACACACTGACTGGGACTAGCAGCATTAGTCACAGAGTGCATCATGTATAGCTACACGCTGACTGGGAATAGCAGCATTAGTCACAGAATGCATCATGTATAGCTACACACTGACTGGGACTAGCAGCATTAGTCACAGAGTGCATCATGTATAGCTACACACTGACTGGGACTAGCAGCATTAGTCACAGAGTGCATCATGTATAGCTACACACTGACTGGGACTAGCAGCATTAGTAACAGAGAGTGCATCATGTAGCTACACACTGACTGGGACTAGCAGCATTAGTCACAAGAGTGCATCATGTATAACCACACACTGACTGGGACTAGCAGCATTAGTCTGAGTGCATCGTAATAATAGCTACGCACGGCTGGGACTGGCAGCATTAGTCACAGGTGCGTAAATGTGTAATGCATGCTGACTGGGACTAGCAGCATTAGTAACAGAGTGCATCGTATGCTTCACACTGACTGGGACTAGCAGCATTAGTAACAGGAGTGCATCATGTATAGCTACACTGACTGGGACTAGCAGCATTAGTAACAGAGTGCATCATGTATAGCTACACACTGACTGGGACTAGCAGCATTAGTAACAGAGTGCATCATGTATAGCTATGCACTGACTGGGACTAGCAGCATTAGTAACAGAGTGCATCATGTATAGCTACGCGCTGACTGGGACTAGCTACACACTGACTGGGACTAGCAGCATTAGTAACAGAGTGCATCATGTATAGCTACACACTGACTGGGACTAGCAGCATTAGTAACAGAGTGCATCATGTATAGCTACACACTGACTGGGACTAGCTACACACTGACTGGGACTAGCAGCATTAGTAACAGAGTGCATCATGTATAGCTACACACTGACTGGGACTAGCAGCATTAGTAACAGAGTGCATCATGTATAGCTACACACTGACTGGGACTAGCAGCATTAGTAACGGAGATTGCATCGCGCATAGCTACACACTGACTGGGACTAGCAGCGCATGAGTCACAGAGTGCATCGTAATATAGCTTCTGGCGCTGACTGGGACAACGTGGTAACAGGAGTGCATCATGTATAATACACACTGACTGGGACTAGCAGCATTAGTCACAGGGGTGCATCATGTATAGCTACACACTGACTGGGACGCTTGTAGTCACAGAGTGCATCATGTGCTCTTCCACACACTGACTGGGACTAGCAGCATTAGTCACAGAGTGCATCATGTATAGCTATGCACTGACTGGGACTAGCAGCATTAGTAACAGAGTGCATCATGTATAGCTACACACTGACTGGGACTAGCAGCATTAGTCACAGAGTGCATCATGAATAGCTACACACTGACTGGGACTAGCAGCATTAGTCACAGAGTGCATCATGTATAGCTACACACTGACTGGGACTAGCAGCATTAGTAACAGAGTGCATCATGTATAGCTACACACTGACTGGGACTAGCAGCATTAGTAACAGAGTGCATCATGTATAGCTACGCACTGACTGGGACTAGCAGCATTAGTAACAGAGTGCATCATGTATAGCTACACACTGACTGGGACTAGCAGCATTAGTAACAGAGTGCATCATGTATAGCTACACACTGACTGAATTTATACAGTCACAGAGTGCATCATGTATAGTTATTGACTGACTGGACTAGCAGTATTATAACAGAGTGCATCATGTATAGCTACACACTGACTGGGACTAGCAGCATAAAGTCACAGAGTGCATCATGTATAGCTACACACTGACTGGGACTATATATAAATGAGTGCATCATGTATACAAGACACTGACTGGGACTAGCATAGTCACAGAGTGCATCATGTATAGCTATTGACGCTGACTGGGACTAGTAGCATTAGTCACAGAGAGCATCATGTATAGCTACACACTGAATGGACTAGCAGCATTAGTCACAGAGTGCATCATGTATAGCTACACACTGACTGGGACTAGCAGCAATAGTCACAGAGTGCATCATGTATAGCTACACACTAACAGGGACTAGCAGCATAGTCACAGAGTGCATCGTGTATAGCTACGCACTGACTGGGACTAGCAGCATTAGTAACAGAGTGCATCATGTATAGCTATGCACTGACTGGGACTAGCAGCAATAGTCACAGAGTGCATCATGTATAGCTACACACTGACTGGGACTAGCAGCATTAGTCACAGAGTGCATCATGTATAGCTACACGCTGACTGGGACTAGCAGCATTAGTCACAGAGTGCATCATGTATAGCTACGCACTGACTGGGACTAGCAGCATTAGTCACAGAGTGCATCATGTATAGCTACACGCTGACTGGGACTAGCAGCATAGTCACAGAGTGCATCATGTATAGCTACACGCTGACTGGGACTAGCAGCATTAGTCACAGAGAGCATCATGTATA